TAAATTTTAAGAGTTAAAAAGTAGAAGAGAAATGAGAGACATAGAAGATGAGCAAAGAAGTTACAATATATATATAGCTGTAATTGTCCAAAAAACAAAACCAAAACCACACAGCAAAGAAAATGTTTAAAGATGTCAATCAAGAAAACTTTACCACAATAAAACAGTCAAAACCTAGTCATGTTATCAGACGAAAGATAGAGAAATAATATTTGAAGTCACTGAACAAAAGGATGAAGCCACCTATAAAAGTGGAAAAAAATAGGCTGGCATCAGGTATCCCCCAACAGCTGCATGAAAACTGGGAAACAGAAGAGCAACACCTGTAAGACCAGTTAAAAAGAAAATGTGAAGTCAGGCATGGTGGCTCACACATGTAATCCTAGCACTCTGGGAGGCCAAGGCAGGAGGATCCTTTGAGACCAGGAGTCTGAGACCAGTCTGGGCAACACAGCAAGACCTGGCTTCTACAAAATATTTTAAAAATTAGCTAGCCCTGGTGGTATATGCCACTTAGGAGGCTGAAGCAGAACGATCACTTGGCCCAGGAGTTGGAGACTGCAGTGAGCTATGTTTGCACCAGTGCACTACAGCCTGGACAACAGAGCAAGATCTAGTCTCAAAAAAAAAAAAAAAAGGAAAAGAAAATATGAGTCAACAAAATGGATTTCATTTTGTTTCAACTATCCTTCAAATGTTAAGCTACAACTGTGAACAATGCAAGATCTCACAGAATATTGCTCCCCTGAGCCATTCTTACGGCAACTACTTGAAGATCACTTTCAGCCAAGTAAGTGATCATGAGATAAACCACAGCAAAAGGACTAGAGATAAACATTAGTGATATCTAACTATAGAGCTATGACTAAAACAAATGCGAATATCAGGATAACAAATTAAAATGTAAATTACATACCCTGAGGTTATACAGGCATACCTCAGAGACATTGTGAGTTAGGCTTCAGCCCACCATGATAAAGTGAATCACACAATTTTTTTTTGTTTCCCAAAGCATATAAAAGTTATGTTTACATTCTACTATAGTCTATTAAGTGTTCAATAGCATTAGCTCTAAAAAAGCAATAGATGTGCCTTAACTTGAAAATACTTTATCCAAAAATTCTAATAATAATCTGAGTTTTCAACAAGTCATAATGTTTTTGCTGGTGGAGGGTCTTCCTTTGATGTTGATGACTACTGACTGATCAGGATGGTGACTGTTGAAGTCTGGGGCGGCTGTGACAATTTCTTGAAATAAGACAACAAAGAAGTTGGCTGCATTCATTGATTCTTCCGTTCACCATTTCTCTGTAACATGCAATGCTGTTTGATAGCATTTTACCCACAGTAGAATTTTTTTCAAATTGGAATCAATCCTCTCAAACCTTGCCACTGCTTTATCAACTAAGTTGATATAATATTCTAAATTCTCTGTTGTCATTTCAACAATGTTCACAGTATCTTTACCAGGCAGGAGCAGATTCCATCTCAAGAAATCACTTTCTTTGTTCATCCATAAGAATAAGCTAATTCATTCAAGTTTTATCATGAGATACAGCATTTCAGTCACATCTTCAGGCTCTGCTTCTAATTCCAACACATCAGCAGTGGCTTCCTCTAGTGAAGTCTTGAACCTCTCAAAGTCCTCCATGAGGCTTGGAGTTTCTTCCAAACTCTTGTTAAGGTTGATATTTTGACCTCTTCCAATTCATCACAAATGTTCTTAATGGTATCTACAATGATGACCCCTTTCCAGAAGATGTTCAATTTACTTTGCTCAGAGCCATCAGAGGAATCATTACGTATGGCAGCTACAGCCTTATGAAATGTATTTCTTAATAAGAGTTCAAAGTCAAAATTACTCCACCCATGGGCTAAAGAATGGATGTGGTGTTAGCAAGCATGAAAACAACATTTATCTCCTTGCACATTTCCATCAGAGCTCTTGGGTGGCTAGGTGCATTGTCAGTGAACAGTACTATTTTGAAAGGAATCTTTTTTCTGAGCAGTGGATCTCAATAGTGAGGTTAAATTCTTCAGTAAACGATGCTGTAAACAGATGTGCTGTCATCCAAGCTTTGAAGTTCCATTTATAGAAGGCAGGCAGAATAGACTTAGCATAATCCTTAAGGGTCTTAGGATTTTCTGGATAATAAACGTACACTGGCTTCAACATAAAGTCACCAGCTACATTAGCCCCTAACAAGAGAGTCAGCCTATCATTTGAAGCTTTGAAGCCAGGCATTGACTTCTCTTCTGTAGCTATCAAAGTCCTAGATGGCACCTTGTAATATAAGGCTGTTTTGTCTATAATGAAAATCTGTTGTTTAGTATATCCACTTTCTTAGCTAGACTTTCTGGATAACTTGCTGTAGCTTCTCCATTAGCACTTGCCACTTTAACCTGCACTTTTATGTTATCAAAAGGCCTTCTTCCCTTAAATGTCATAAGCCAACCTCTGCTAGCTTCAAACTTTCTTCTGAAGCCTCCTTACCTCTCTTAGCCTTCATAGAATTGAAAAGAGCCCTCTTGCTCTGAATTAGATTTTAGCTTAAGGGAATGTTGTGGCTGGTTTGATCTTCTATCCAGACCACTACAATTTTCTCCATATCAGCAATAAGGCTGGTTCACTTTCTTATCATTAGTGTGCTCACTCACTGGAGGAGCACTTTTAAATTCTTTCAGGAATTTTTACTGGCCAGGAACAGCAGCTCATGCCTGTAATCCCAGCACTTTGGGAGGCCAAGGCGGGTGGATCGCTTGAGCCCAGGAGTTCAAGACCAGCCTCGGCAACGTAGTGAAACTCCATCTCTAGAAAAAAAATGTTTAAAAAAATAACCAGGAATGGTGATGCACACTAGTAGTCTGAGCGACTTAGGGGGCTGAGGTAGGAGGATCCCTTGAACCCAGGAATCAAAGCTGCAGTGAACCATGATCATACCACTGCACTCCTGCGTGGGTGACACAGAGAGATCTTGTCTCAAAAAAAAAAAAACACAGAATTTCCTTTACACTCACAACTTTGCTAACTGTTTGGCAGAAGAGACCTAGCTGTTGGCCTGTTTCAGAGTTCAATATGCCTTCCTCACCAAGCTTAATTATTTCTAGATTTACATTTAAAATGAGAGACATGCGACTGGCTCTTCCTTTCACTAGAACACGGAGACGCCACTGCAGGGTTATTAGTTGGCCAAACTTCAATACCGTTGTGCCTCAGGGATCTGGGATGCCTGAATGGCCAGCTAGTGGAACAGTCAGAACACACAGCATTCATGGATTAAGTTCACCATCTTCAAAGGGCATGGTTTGTGGCACCCCAAAACAATGACAATTGTCACATCAAAGATCACTGACCACAGATCTCCATAACAGATATAATCAAAAACGAAACAGGTTGAAACTATTGTGAAAATTACCAAAATGTGACAGAGACACAGAATGGCGCACACGATGTTGGAAAAATGGCACCAATAGACTTGTTCAATGTGGGATTGCCACACGGCTTAAATTTGTTTTAAAAAAAAAAAAGTAAAAAAGTAAAAAAAAAAAAAAAAAAAACAGCATCTTCAAAGCACAATAAAGCAAGGCACAATAAAGTGAGATACAACTTATATAGAATGATACCATGAATAAGAGTAGATAGTGGAAGAGGGAAAGGAAGTTGAGATGCTAATTTCACTGACTGCCTTATATGTAATAGCTGAGTGCCAAGAGTTATCATGTAAAGCTGGCAAATCATATAAGAGAAACATAAGCATGTTTAATCATTTAAAAGATGATGTCCACCAAAACTTTGTGTTCGAAAAAGAAAGAAAAGAGATATCATCACCCATTATGGGGATCAAATACATGCTGGTTAACAAATAGAACACTAAGATTATTATATGCCATTATACTTATAAAGTTAACCCCTAGGCCAGGTGCGGTGGCTCACCTGGGAGGCCAAGGCAGGCAGATTACCTGAGGTCAGGAGTTCGAGACCAGCCTGACCAACGTGGTGAAACCCCATCTCTACTCAAAGATACAAAATTACCCGGGCATGATGGTGGGCACCTGTAATCCTAGTTACATGGTAGGCTGAGGCAAGAGAATCGCTTGAATCCGGGAGGCGGAGGTTGCAGTGAGCTGAGATTGCACCACTGCACTCCAGCCTGGGTGACAAGAGTGAAATTCTGTCTCAATAAATAAATAAATAAATATAAACAAACGAATACAGTTAACCCCAAGACAAAAATACGAAACTCTCCAAGTGTCAGAAAAAAAAGATACACAAAAAATAAGACAAAGACTGATACAGGAAAGAGGTCATTGCAGTTCACTCCATGATCAGCTGCAGAAAGCATTTATCTAGTCAAAATCATGCAGATGTTTCACTTCTATCTAATTAAATATTGGGAAGACAGGAGGACAGGAAAAGAGCCCTTCTGTGGTGGGGCAGGCAGGAAGAAGGAACTGACTCCTCATCTTCCACAATACAAAGTCAAAAAAAAATCCCCAAAACTGAAAATTCCAGAAGAAGTACAAGCAAGATATTTAAAGACATGGATCGGATGAATGTTCAAATCCACAATCAAAACAGATGAAAGTGATGGTCTCTGGGAAGGTAAGAAAAGGTGAGAGGGTCAGAATGTTACTGTTTTTTATAACAAATTTTGTAGAACATTTTGGTCCCTTACTATACAGCTTTAATAAGAAGTACAATTTTTAAAATGGAAGTTGAGCTCAAATGAGTAATCCGAATTCAACCGACCAACTCATATTTTCCATTCTAACCTTTTCATTAGGTTCGCTAGCCTTTCATTCTGGAAAAAGAGATACTTCATTCTGCTTTGGCTTTTGTTGAAAGCCAGCACAATGACAGCATTAATTTAAATGACAGTGTTTCGTAAGCCTCCTCTGAACCTCAAACTATAGTTTATGCTATGAGGACAAAACACTGACTAAGCACCCTTACTCAAGATGACCTGCAGAGGAAGAGATATTAGCAAATGAATGGGTACCTATGGTGGTGATGACAGTTCCAGCAAAGAAAAAGGCACTGCCGAGGTCCCAGTGGCTGCTGTTGTTGGAGGAGTTTCCTATTGGACTGACTCCCGCATTGTCAGCATCAAGGGCATGCTGCAAAGAAAGGGAAAAAGCGTAAGACTCAGTTTAAAAGTTGTTCTTTTAGTTTTTGTTTCTTTTAAAAAAAAAAAAGAAAAAGAAAGAAAGAAAGGTTCCAATACATTATTCCCCTGCTCAAGAACCTGCAATGATCTAGAAAGAACTGGTTAAGTGGATGAGGGTACCATCCCAAAGCAAAATGCTATGCACCCAGTTGTGAAAATTAGAAAATTAGTGTTAAGTCGGGGGGAAACACTAGGATATAGAATATGGTGACTTTTATAGAAAGCTTGCAGGCATGGGGTGGCCCAGATTATGCAATATGTATACAAGTTGCTGCGCATATACACACACAAAAATGTCTAGAAGAATGTTCACCCAAAGTGGACATTTCTGCAAGGCAGGATTTTGGTTGCTTTTTCACTCTTTTCTGTCTTGTAAGAATGTTTTACCTTGAGCTTGTTTCCATAGGGCAGGAGTTAAGAGCCATCCTGACTGTAGCCGTTATTAACTTCAGAACCTTGGGCAAGTTATTTGAACCTCTCTAAGCCTAGTTTCCTCATTTGCAAACTAGAGATAAAACCTTCCCCACAGGGTTGTTGTGAGGATTAAATGAGATGGTCCAAGTAACATCCTTAGCCCAATGTCTGGCTCCCAGTTAGGGTTTAACAAACAGTAACCAATTTCATGATTGTCATTCCACTCTCACCCACCCCCACACCACACACACACATCTCTCTTTTTAAAAATAAGCTACAATGACTCCTCGATGATTACTGAATTTGAGATTCCATACACCTTAAAATTTCCAACAAACTGGTCACAATGATGACCCATTTTCATCTCACACTGCTATAAATTCCCCACTCTGGGCAGACACTCCATGACATGTTCCCTGTACTTATGTACCTGTGCCCTCCCACAAACAGTGCCCATCCTTCTAGGTCTAATTCAAGCCCTGCTTCTTCCAGGAGACTTAGTCTATGCATCACTGCTTCACAGTTGCCCCCTTCCCTGAGTTCATACTCTGGCAACAGTTAAAGATACTGCTTAAAATCCCTCCCTAGCCTCATCACAAGCAGGAGAAGGTGAAAAACTCCACAGCAGTTCTTCCTGAGCTGGCCCCTGCCACCCTCTTTCAAGCCAGGAGAAAAGGTAGGACATGCTGTCATGGCAGCCCAAACACACGCTGTTCACACGGGCGAGCTGGGATATAAAAGCGACAGGTGGAAGCCTTGGAGAGGAGGTGACAGACACAGGAGCTACTTCTAGAACAACAAACAGACATTCGGTTCCTTGGGCAAACCTGGAATAACCCTATGTAGGGAGAGCAAGACAGAAATATTGAAATGTAATTACATTTATCCTAAGTAATGCCCATTAAGTTTTGTTAAAACAGGCATATAGTGGTTGTCACAAATCAGATTACAACTGGAAAAGTCAATCATTATTACATTTTGCCTTCTTTCATCTGAGTTATTTCACTCTGGACAAGGGATCAACAACCTTTTCCATAAAGGGTCAGATAGTAAGTATTTTAGCCCTAGTGGGCCACATATGGTCTCTGTTGTATATTTTTCTTTCTTTTAAATAATCTTTTAAATATGCAAAAACCATTTTTAGCTCAGGGGTTGTACAAAAAGAGGCTGTGAGCTAGATTTGGCAGACTCATAGACAACTGACTGGACGATACAGGGGAAAAAAGCACCTTCTGTCAAGTGCCGAGTCTATTCTTCTCTCCCTCTATGAGAACATGGAATATTATGCAAGGCCGCAGCCGGCCACTGTTTCTAGCAAACCCAGGCACCCTAGAATTTAAAATCTGGCTGCATGGGATGTGTACAGACTGTCTTTGCATAAATCAGCCTAATTGACAATGGTCACATAATCATCAGAGGTATGTTCTGCTCTGCTCTAGAGGGGAGACAGATGGTGGGTCCTTTCCACTGATAGCATCTCCATTTTCACTGTGCCATATGAGTACCATCAGACCAAGCCACCGAGCCTTCACCAGTGTTTATATCTTCATTATCTACTCAGCTCTGATGGGAATAATACTGCAGGGAGGGCTCTAGGCGTCAGTCACTTAGGTTGCCTCAAATCATACCATCAGTACCTAATATTTACAACTCCTATCAAGCTGTGAAGAGAGGTTAGGCTCACTCAAGTCTCACAGTGCTGAGAATTGCATATAAATGTCATAAGCAAACCCAGCACTGCAAACAAAAATACAGATTTGCATGAAAGACAACGGGGACGATGATTTGTTTCATCAAAAAATCTGAAGAATCCTTTTCAAGTTTCATTTTTCTTGAATTACGCAATTTATAAATATTTAGTATTTACCTATGTAACCCTCAAGGAAAGTGTTTATCAGCTGAAAGGAAAAGGGAACTAACAGTTGTTAAGTGCCTGCCCTTTGCCAGGTGCATTGGAAGTGTCATTCTGTTTTATCCTTTCTACAACTTGTGTGTGATTTCATTCTATCCTTTCCATAACTTGCAAGAAAGTAGTATGATCCCCCACCTTAGAGATGGGGAAAAAGTTTCAGGAAACTCAATTAACCTGTCCTAGGTCACCCAGTCAGGAAGTGAAGAGGCCAGGATTCAACCCTGTCTGGCCCAAAGCAGATGGTTTTGCCTTTCCTCTACCTTTGGTACCCAGAATGCATGCCGCCTCCCCAACTCTCATCTTCACCTCTAGACATATGAGGAAGAAGGACAGCCATTGTCCAAGAATTTAGGCAGAAGAGACCTTACAAGGGATCATTTCTAATTAGACAGCTTCCTTGAACATGCAAATGGAGACACCAAACTTCATTTGGCTGTCAAAGCTGATTAGAGACGAGTCACTCTGTGTTAAAATAAAATTAAAGAATAAATTAATTAAAGTGGGATAAGGTTGATTTTTATGCCCTAAGAGGGAGGGATCAGAGAAAACAGAAAAGCCCTGAAAAAGGAGGACAAGAAGAAATAAGGCAACAAAAAGGGGTGTCAACAGACAGGTGGGAAATTCAGGCTCCATAGTGGCAATGCCCAGGTCTTTGAAGAGCAACTCCATCTAGTATCCAATTTCAGCTGGGTTCTATCTGTGATGTCAATTCCTCTCTCCCTGCCAAATCTTCAGTAAAATGGGCAATGCACCCAAATGCCTTGGGGAAGCAGTTTCGTGGAAATTATATATAAGGGTTGTTATGGGCAAAGCAGGGCCACTGATGATCTGAACTAACTCCTTGAGAGCAAGACTCAATGAAAAGGAGAAAAATAAGGTCTCCTACGAGTCACCAAACTTCTGATAAGGCTTTAGAAAGTCCCAATGCTGAGAATGAGGTTTGATTTTCTATCTGGATCTTATGGCTCTGAAAAACTCTGGCAAACAACCAGAATTCAAGTGAATCAGCAAACTCGGGTTATAACTGACTGTTACCACTTGAATTGGCAATTTCATTTTTAACTCAATAATAATAATTCTAATGGAGTGTACAGTTTTAATTTTTATTAATTTTCAAAGTATTTTCTAATGATCTTAATTGTTTGAGCTCAAGTAAAACATTTTAAAATTAAATGCATTTGCTTTTAAGATTTTTCTCTGCATTCAGGCTGCAGAAGTGAATGGAGGGCAGCCCATGAGGAATGTATGAGCACGCAGATGATGAAATGGCACGACTGAGCTCTGTACAGTTTAGCTCAAAAAATGTTACAGGGTAGAGGTTCAATCAATGTTATGCAATAATTTCAGGCTCAATGAGCATCATTTGTTCACTTACAACTTCAACCATTATCAAGTTCAGCGAGATCTTATGAGGATCAAAAAATTCACATAGATAGATAATTCAATAGAGGTAGACAGATAATTAGATGGGGGGGATACTGTAGATAAGACGGTATTACTTTACATTTTAATTCCATTCCTCCTTGAATTTCCTTTTTAGCCTCTAAGCTGGCATTTCCAGCACCCACTTAGCTACCCAGTAAATGGCCCAGGAGTGAATGTTTTAAGTCAACAATAAATAAATGAACAAACTAAGTGAATAAATTTGGGTATATTATCTTCCCAGAGGTGTGAGAGGAAAACATTTTACTTCTTTCTAAAATTAGACAAACACAAAAGCAACTCAACAACAACAACAAAATAATAATGATTTGTTTCTTTTAAAAAGAGGTGGAGAGCTGACTTGAAAGAGGGCAAGATCTAAAAGATTCTGTATCCCTCTTTCTCCCTTGTCCTCCCCACCCCCACACCATGCATTAGGACTATCTGACAGGCAGAAGAGAGAAACGGCAACCTCTCACAAAGTGAGGCGGGTCTGTAGCCGATGTGCTTAGAAAGAGAGGAGGAGGAGGTAACTGGACCCCTCACAGGACCCCCCACCACATTTCCCCCACCAGTTTCCTCCCATCAGGCAACGCCAGCTACATGAATCACTGCTCCAGACAGCGTGTGATACCATCATGAGTGTTAGTGCTGCACTGGGATGAATGATGACCCGCAGGGGACCACTAACTGTCTGTGGCTTTTCTCCTATGATCTGTGCACTCGGTGAGATCATCTGTTTCTCTGTTTCCTTATGTGCCACCAAAAAGAAAGACAAACAAAGGTGCAGCAGTAATCTCTCGGCTTGTCTCAGACTGGCTGAAGAATACAACAGATTTGTGCCCTATGCATGGATGCTAATAGTTGGGTAACCAGTTGATCTATTGTCCAAAGCAGGGAACTTGCAAATAAAAAGGTAGCTCTGTTAACAACTACGCTGGGACCACGGGACGGGTGCAACCCTGGATGTATGGTCATTTTACTAACAGATTGTTTGTCTCTTGAGAAAGGACTTCATCTGAGGGTACAATGGTGGCTGTGGCCACAATGTTCTTACTCCCTAAACGGCACAGTCAGCAAATGGATTATGAATTGGAGATTTAGCCAGGGATTGAGGTAGGGCGAGGGCATGAGTGTGGAAAGTGGCTCCTAAAGTGTATTAAAAGTGAGCCTATCCCAGCCATTAGCAGTTGGAAGGAAAG